TCAAAGAAATAATTTGTAATGTTAGTAAGGAGGTGATCGATGGTCGTGCTTGTGTTGTCAGTGACGCGTGTTGGGATGTTAATTATCGCCAAGGATAATACTTATTTCGAAATGAAAATTCCCAATTATATGGGTTTTCAAAGATGATGGACATCTTTCAATATGAAGTTCATAGCGAGAAAGCTGAAATAATTGTCACCATCTTTTTCAGTCATGGGCCTCCTACACCAAGCAGTCAGATTAGAAAAATGTATAATAAGTTATATTACGAGAATACTGCAATGTATGCACTTGGACAATATGTATAAAGTCGCCTGAACTTTCGCTATGCATTGGACATGTACTAGCTTAAAACTTAAATAAATTAAAAAAAAAAGATTTCTCAAAATGACAGTATGAGGGCGCCATAAAGCCACTTGGAGGCACTGTACATGTCTCAATTTGATGATGGTCCTGTTTCAAATAATCTCACCCAATAGAAGCGAGCACATAACTGGCTCTGTGAATATTAAATGATGACACATACCTTTAGTGTGTATCTGATTTTCTCCCTTTCATTGCATATCTTCAATAGCTCGGTAACAGCTCGCAAGTTAACGCCAGGATTGTCAGATGGTCCCATCATAGTGTACGTCTTACCAGACCCAGTCTGTCCATACGCCATCAGGCATACGTTATAACCGTCCACACATGATGTAATGATTGGCATCACTTCAGTAAACACCTGGCATTAAACAATAAAAGAATTAGTTAATTTTATTTTCATATGGGTTTAACCCCCAAAAATTATTACAGTACAGTAACTGTTAAAGTTGGTGGTTAAAATTGTACTCTGTAGAGTATTGAGTTATGTCATTGAGTTATTGAGTTATGTCATTGAGATATTGAGTTATGTCATTGAGTTATTGAGTTATGTCATTGAGTTATGTCATTGAGTTATTGAGTTATGTCATTGAGTTATGTCATTGAGTTATGTCATTGAGTTATTGAGTTATGTCATTGAGTTATTGAGTTATGTCATTGAGTTATTGAGTTATGTCATTGAGTTATTGAGTTATGACATTGAGTTATTGAGTTATGTCATTGAGTTATTACAGACATATTTGTTATTGCAGAGATGTAACACTAAAAATGATTTTTTTTTCTGGACATTGAATGTCACTTCTGACTTTTTTTTGTATGTGCAAGTTGCAAGTGCTAGTGCTGATACATAGTGCATTTTTTGCCACAGAAACCATATCATGTTTCGGACTACATGGCAGGGATGTGTGGCCATCTTCCTATCAAATGGCGATTTCAAGTTAATGCACTATTCTGGCATCAACCAGTCTCGAACACAAGCACCTGTGGACCTTAACCAAGGTTCTCCCAAAGTCGCATTCGTTAGTTAATGAATCTCGGCCAGTGGAATTGCATGGCCTTCCCATTGGGTCTGAGGCACACTCACCCAGGGTATGGGTTGACCCTTTTTGGTGCTCAGCCTGAGGTAGGATTTGAAGTTGCGTCTGCCGATCATGAGTCTGATGCAACAACCAATATGCTACCAGTGACCGGTCAAAATGACTTATTTTTACATTGAGGTAAATTCATTGAATCTTAATTTAGCTGAAACACTAAAAATCTCACTGTGAGAATATGATAATTTCTCTTGAATAAGCAAAATTACAAAGAACTTGCAGGAGATAAATTACCCACTCAGTAGTATGGACAATTCAGTCAATGGTAATCAAAAGGGTAAATTTTCAACTTTGTTGTGTACTGTGAAATACTTTATTTTAGCTGGAATTAATTTTCGCTGAAAAGACTTTTTGTGTGTTTTGCATGGAGTTTAATTTCACTGATATTTGATGAGTTAGGAAACATAGGAAAAAAAGTATATTCACTTGATTTTATTTTCATTGAATCATCCGTTCAGTGAAAACAGCAAAAATTAAATACTGTGGAATACTTTATTTTCACTGGGAATTAATTTTCACTGAAAAGGCTTTTTGGGCGTTTTGTATTGAATTTATTTTCACTGATTTTTGATGAGTTTAATGTGAAATATAGGAAAAAAAGTATATTCGCTGGATTTTATTTTCATGGAATCATCCTTTCAGCGAAAATAGCGAAAATAAATTTCAAGCGAAAATAAAGTATTCCACAGTATTTTACAGTACTAGTATAAGTCTAGAGCATAATGATAAATTCGTATTGATTTCATAACCAGTAATACAATAAACATGTACCTCATCTTGTGTTGATTTAGGTGTGAATACTCGATCAAATTTATACTTTTTAACTCCACCCGCAGGATTGGTGCACTGTATTTCATGATCTGTTGGGAACTGGAGCGAGCACTCCACTCGGTCGTCACGGCGACATCGACAGAACACACGGATATTGCCACGTAGTTCTTGAATCTTGAAAAAAAATATTTTTGTGTACCGGGGTGTAGTCTATGTTAAAAGAGTTAAACTTTGAAATGCACATCATATACCCCATATTGTCCAATCACACTTTATTTTGGATGGTATTTACCCATCCCAGAATGCACTTCACGTGAACAAAACTTTGACAGCTGCTATTAACTAAAAACAAAACTTGTGTACATTTTGCGTACAATTTTTGTAAAACACTTTTAATTTTGCAAGTTTCATGAAGATGTACCACAGAAAAAAAATCTTGAGATTTGTAACAATGAACACTGCTGGATACCTTGAAGTCGCACTAACTTTCCAAAATGTTGTCCTTGAGAAAACTCTTAAATCATGAAATTGAAAAAACAATTTAAAGTAATAAGATCCTCTCTCTTTTCAATGTCGTTCTCATTTTTAGAAACCAGATTATACTATATTTTACCTTATTGTAGAGTATTTTTCTTTGCAGACATTCTTTCCTATAAAGTACTTTTATATTTTCCAGCTCAGACGAAGTATTGGTGTCTAGACTTCTTAGTTGCTTCAGTCCACCCATGGCTTGCTGTGTTAACTGCTTTAAATCTTAAATAATGACATTTATATTATTATTATAATTTATTCATCTAATTATAATGTCAGAAAATGCTATGATTCAAAACTATTTTTCAGTCAAACAGAGACCACAGTAAAAAGTTTCAACAATTAAGAACATGTGTTCCAACTGTGATCAATATATTTTAAAAATGTACTGCTGCAGCATCATTACCAACATTTTTTACTTTTGAACATGTATTACTTTATTTTTAACTAATTCTAGTTAACACGCACCAGTATAATATTTGTAACTCCTGTGTGTATTGTACAAAATTGTATAATCCACACACAAACCAGTTAGATATAGTGAATCAAATGGCAAAACATCATTTGTGTTGTTCAGTCTGAAAAAAAAAATATCATCCCAAGATGCATTTTGGGTCACATGACCTAATTTGCTTGAACTGCAGGACGGCTGGGAGTATTGGTTTCTTACCTTCAAAACCAGTTTTCACAAGATGTTTTAAACTTTTATTCATCTTGTCAACTTCTTTTACATCTTTGTTGACTGCCTTCAATGTTTCATCGTCAATGACTGGTCCAACTTCTGGTTCCGGTTCACACTGTAAAGTCAGTACTTCTGGCTCTGGTGGAGCTGTTTCTATCTCCTACAGAAAGTTATATTGAGTTAAACGCAATCAAAATATTATATTTATGTAAATCAACTGTATTTAATTTCTGATCTTTGAATCACTCAATAATCACACAATAACTAGAATCAAAAACTCAAGAAAAATACAACTCATCCTGGAGTCACTATTGGATTATAGTTAAAATATTACACATACTCCCATAAAAAAATACTTAAATATGTCATAAAAATTAAATCCATCAATTTTTACTCACAGGTGTTTTGGGTCTTCTAGTTCTTGATGTACCAGGTCTCGCTGTCATCGGCCTGGCAGTCATTGGTCTCTCTTGTTGCATTGACACAACTCTCAGATGGGCTGTTTTAGCTTCAATTTCTGACTCGGATAACTGGTCACGTAGCTTTCGTAACTGAAATGTAACAAACGACATTAAGTACAGAATGCTCTCTATTAAGGTAGAAGCCTAGTCATAATTTTTGACAAAATTGGTCATAAATCGCATGACAATGTTCATTAGTTTATTATGTACAATCATGAAGCTAATGTCCCATGGTATAATGAAATAGCATTATTTTGTGTGTTACAGTTGTGCCTTTTGAGAAACGTGTCCCAATATTTCTTAAAAATTGCTATTTTTAGAACAATTCCATAGAACATAATGTTAAAAGAAAATTACATTTTTTGACACTTTTTAAAACCCAGATTTTTTTAATAATTCAGAACAACAAAAGGTACTCCATCATTAACAATATATGATTTTTTCAGCCTATGTCACCAGGCTAGATTGTGAGATATTGCATAATATCTCTGCCATAGGAACCTGTGGTAAAAGTGTTATAATAGTGTCAAAATGGCGACTTTCCACTAAAACACAACCATCCATTTCTCGAAAAAAAGGCTGGTGACCCCCAACTTTTTTTAGGTCAATATCCTTATATTGCCTTGGAGTACAATTTATTGCAAAATGAATAAATTCTGGGTTTTTTAATTTATGAGTAGGCTTCTACCTTAAGTAGGGAGATAAGGTGTTTTTTTCATGGTGCATGAGTACACTATTCTCAAGGTACCAAAGTTAAATAACTTATAAAGGCAAGTAGGTCTATACAGATGCAATAAGATTCCAATAATTTGGTATATGCTTCATGACCAAAAAGGTGGATATGTCGCATTACAATGCATGCAAATCTACCATCTTATTATACTCATGAAACCATATTTCCTCTTTCAGAAACGTGATCTCACATACATGTAGATCAAAAAGATCAATTTGTGTACACTGGATCAGTAAAATACATAGTGCATTCACTATTAACATATACAAGATCTATGAACTTAAAATCTTGAAAATGAAAGATACATCAATGCATCGTACCAAACTTTCCCTGTGCATGTGTGAATCCTAGCAATATTCATTTATATACGAGTATCTCTAGATATTTGTGAATATGGATGATACACACGGCAAATAGTTTATTCTGAAACAGTCTCGCTTACTTACCTCTGATAATGATTTTTCATTTTCTTCTAGTATAACTTTGTTTACTCGGCAAGCTTCTTCATAATCTGATTTCTACAACAAGAAATACAACTCAATACAGCAAATAGCTGGTGGTGATGTGAATTGTACAAGAAAATATTTTAGACTGCTGCCACAACATTCATTGTATACCAAGAGAAACAAAATCAATTAAATGACGATGTTATCTAAATTTAATTGTTAATTACTAGATGAGAAAAAATATTATGTGAGGCCAAAAAAAAAAAGGTTCTAGTTCTTGTGCCAGAAAAAATTGAAAAAAGATGCAATATTTAATACCACAGCAATGAGATATATGATAAACATTCAACATTCACTAAATAATGATTTCAAAGACATCCATTAAAGATTGATTTCAATCTACAAAACATCCCCTGAAACAATATAAAAACATTTCTTCATTCTAGTGTATGTGACTCACTTTATTAATATACAAAATGTTTGAAACGTCTAGGTTTCAATCTGATGAGTATGATGACAAGAAGCAAAACTTTTCTTAATACAATACCAAACATGTTGCTGACAAAGAACTAAAGGTGGACATATCTGTATGATTGATGAAGTAGAGTGATGTTGTTTTAGTTTTTTTGTGAATGTCAGGTTGTAGAAATTTTCAGATTGTTTTCATCATCTGAGGCAGGTCCAGTATCTACACACCAATGTCAAGTCAATCGTAGAAATACAACTGTGACGTTTTTGGGACCACTTTATTGCATGCATCAGAATACATACATTTGTAATGGTGTTAAATGTCAACTGATCTCCCAAGTGTATTGATATGTAAAAAATAGTGCCGTTAAGTTAAACATGAAAACTCTCTAGTTTCTTTGATGTTTTGTGTGTGCCTGAGTCAACACATCACAACTACATATAGAGATCCCTAATTACCAGTTTTGTTAACTTTGCTTCCAATGAGCGTATTTTATCCTCTTTTTCTTTGACCATTGCAGCATTGCCACCAGGGTATCTATCTGGCATATCCATGACACCTGTATCACCGATTGTAAAATAGGTTGCTATGCAATCGTCAAGATCATAGTTACTGGCTCTTAATGATGCAATAATATCATATTTATCACTCCATGCTGGACACGTTTCCTGAAATAATTAGACATTAAAAATAATCAACCACTAGCAGTCTGGATTGTAAAGTCAGCAATATATTTGCAGCTACACAGATAACAAGTCAATGTTTCACCATCTGTTTTTTCTCCATCAAATTGTTTTCATCTTTTCTTTCAAATTCTCAGAAAAATTCAACCATCAATTTTTAATATAAAAACAATGTTTTGGAATTAGTGCTTACATGTTATCATTTTTATTATCATCTATGTACGCAACAGTAATAGGCAATTAATTAAGTGATTGACATATCAATTAAAACTACTTGACATTATTTTAAACCAGAGACAATTAAACTTACTCAATGAATTCATGATGATTTTTTTCTGATGGATGGAGGAGGGTGTTTTATTTCTGATAATAATATGGTGGAAGTTGTTTACCTTGATTTGCTTAACTATTGGTTTAACAAATTCGTGATGTTGTTCCCATGATATCGGCATTTTAACCCAGACACCTGACATCTGATCAAAGTAGTAGTGCACATTCTGTCGTTCCTGTGACCATAAAATGAAGACATAATAATACTCTTGTTTATATTTATATCCTCGAATCCATGTTGATTGTTTGGGATAGTGTACCGTAACCACAAATACTACAAGAAAGCCATCAGATATGACAGATCCCCTTGTGGCTTTGATTCACCAGGAGTGGATAAATTCGCTGTTTTGATTGGAGGACTATAGTGTAGCAGCTACTGTACCTGGATAAAGTGAACACACTTTGGGGGATAGTTAGGGTTGAGATCATCTCATTTTGGGAGTAGGTAGGGTTGGGGTGAAGGTAGCTAAATCAGTATCAGTATGTCCTCTATTAAGACTTACTTTGTAGATCCCGAAAAATAGTACCTATCTCTCAAAATCAAGATAAACCAGCTTGTTAATGCTGAGGTCTTCGTAAAAAAAAATAAATGAGTGACTTGAGGCACAAATGAAAAAGGTTGAGTGGTATATTATCGCACATGACTACGGTGCATATCATTCATAACTGTATGTGACATTTAGTTTGAAATATATCACTAACTGATATATAGTATATTGGTAAACATCGTGTTAAACATCATTTTATAAACAGTTCACAGAGAAAAACAAAGAATTTCAGACTGAATATTAAACATGATTTTAATACAATGACAAAAACCTCATAACCATGTCAACTGAAAGTTTATTTTAATTACAAATGCGAGTCCTACGACATGCTTATAAACATCCTTTAAATTAGCGTATGATTTGATAAGCAAATATAGTTCCGTTAAATTACAATTTATCTCTTTTTTTTAGAAGCTCAAAGTTGGTTATGTGATAAAAATATTATTAATCACCTAATATTACATATTCATAAAACTAGTGAATTGACACTCATGGTGTGATCAATCCCCTCACCTTGGGCTCATGGATTATATTGTCCATATCACTCATATCAACTGTGACTCTATGAACAAGTGATATGAAAGGATAACAACCTCATGAACTACTTTACTAACATTATACCTAAATTATTCATTGATTTGATATAAACCACTACTGATAGTAATAATAATATTATTATTACTTCACACTCACTGTAACTATCATTGGTAACCACGTCAAGTAGTCGTTTCACCCCACTCAGGTGTTACTGGCCGGTAGTGCATGTAAATCAGTGGAAAAGAAAACATCCTCATAGTTTTTATTTTACAATGAAACAATTCATTGTCAATGACACGTCCCCGTTCCGTTCATATTTGAGTGACATATACATTCAAAGCAGATCATGACCGAAATGCACATGCATATGTACAACACATTGTGTTAAATC